TTTCCGATAACTGTTTAATTGCTCGATGTAGAGGTTTATGGTTATTTTCCTGAATTCCAAATTAATTTCGAACCTAAAACAGATTCGCTGCTTTCTAAAATGTCAATCTAGCTGCCTAAGAAACACATCATCTTGGAAAAAAAAGTTATAAAGCTTGGTTTTAATGTATTATTTATGCGCTGTGAAATAGTTCCTTTTAGGTTGGAGGAAATCAGGGCATTTTTACTCGGGCTTAGTGGAAGATTTTCAAAAAGCAATCGAAACTTGGCAAAAATTCTTCTGATTCAAATATGAAAACACCGTTTGAATGACAAGGTGGCAAATAACGAACATTCAACTCACATCAAATTTCAAAAGGAAATATTTAAACAAAAAAAAGATTTTTAAAGAAGCACTAAACTCTGTATACACTAGTTGCTTCGTCGCCTTTTATACTTCTATAATTGACATACAAAAGTTGCAGACTTTGGTCTATTTTTGGCAAATTTTTCAGTTCACTTCCGAATTCTACTGGTTTCCGCTTACATTGTGCGACGATAACTAAAATTAGCATAATTGAATAGACAAAAAATTTAGCAATTATTGCCGCTATTTTGAACGTTGTGGCCATTTTGCAGATATTTTTTTTGGTACTCTGAGTCGTGAGTGTTTTCTATAGAAATTCAGTCTCAGGATTTTTCACTTATTCGTTAGCTAAATTTGAAAATTGTTAACTTTCTTCACACCATTTATTAGTGGAAATATACATATGCCTATAATTCTGGGAATTTTTAGTTATTTTGAATGGTTTTCCGCAATTTTAGGCGAAGTTTTCCAGACACCGCAAAATACTGCTAAGTTTCGACCACGTTAGGATACGGCTTAAAAATATTTATTTAAAGTGGAAAATACACTGAAAACTCATTGCAGCGTGATTAAATAGTCGACGGCGTGTTTCATTAAATGAAACCATTTTGAACTTTGTAACTTTTTTCAGAATGTTTGCCGATTTTTTTAATGCGATACGAATGCGAATCTGAATGTTTTCTCAGGATTTATTATTGCTTTGTTAGCCAAAATTGAAAATTGACCGTGTTCTTCACATTATTCAATAGCGGAAATTTGTTTCTATAGTTCTGGCAATTTTCAGGAGCCAACATTTTTTCTCAATTTTTTTTGTTTTTTTACACAAGTCGGATATCTGCTCATTTTTGCGTCACGATTTTTGTTAAATGTATCAGCCAAGTTGGAATGTAGACAAAAAACTGAATTCTGTTTCCTTAAATGGAACAAATGCGACTTTATTAGTGTTGCAATTTCCAACTTTGTCACTCTTTTTTTTAACTTTTGCAGCTCTTTTAATGTCGGTTATAGAAATTGGGTCTCATAATTTTTCATTCATTCGACCGAGAATCGAAAATTGCTAGTGTTCATTCTTCAACAATTTCATGATATGATGCCTCTATATTTCTGAGAAGCATGAGATTTTTTCTATTTTTTCTCAATTTTTTTATACAAGTCGTAAAATTGTTGATTTTTTGGCCTCGTCCCCTTGCTTTTTTTACGAAAATATATGAATCAAAGTGGAAAATACATGAAGTACTAACATCAGCTCGATTAACTCGACAAACTTTTCTTTATTACTTGTGTTATTTTCAACTTTATCGCTATTTTCCTGAATTTCTACCATCCTGATAGCTCAATGTCTTCCTCATAGAAAGTGGGTCTTAAAACTTGTTATTCAATCCTGAATCACACTTTAAAAAAAATTAATACGTTGTAAGTGTATTAAATAAAGCAAGTGTTTCTCTAGAAATGTGGAAACTTACAATTTTTTTCCATTTTACCTCAATTGCAAGCCGAATATTGTGTCTGTCAGGATTTTCAAAAATTTGTGTAATTGTTTATGTTTATTTATGTATGTATTAAGTAGAAAATAGCTGAAAAACTTAAATTAACGTCATTGAATGGACAAAAGGCTGTTTTATTGGTGGCAGACTTTGCAACTTTGTCACTTTCTTGACTGAACTTGAGTCTATTTTATGTGCGTTAAATTAGAAATTCATTAAAATAACTTTGATTTCTCCTATTAAAAAAAATATGAATTTTGATCCAACTCAAAACTTTCTGCCAAACTAATAATTATTTAATCACGAATAAAAACCAGCACCAGACACCATTTGTACATAAATCTAATTTTCTTCAAATAAATGATCAAAATATCTGATCTTAAAAGTGTTACCGTTAACTTTGGTTATTGCACGATTTAATAATTGCTTGCGTATTTTACTTTCTACTCTGCCTGGTCGTGATTTACCCGATTTAAGGGGGGCTTCACTTACGTACTGTTTCACTGATTGATCCGATTGAAGATCGAACTGATATGCACAGTTATTGGGAACGATTGGCAGTTAATTTTCGATTATTTGGGGGTCGTCTTTTTGTGTTGAAGAAACGTTGATTCAATTTCCCAATGCAGCTGCCGTAAAGAAATTATGCCAGTTGCTCATCTAAATATTGATTAAATCCTGTAACGATTATTGCTTATTGCTCGGTGATATTAGAACAATTACTGCGTATCTATTTTCCAAAGGAAATGCCATAATTAACCTGTAGACACAGTCATTATATGTACCAGGAAAATTTCCAGTATCTGTACCGCTTGAGTAACATCTTTATAAGGATCTTAACTGGCAGGATTTGCACACGAAGACTGTACTGATTCTCGTAATGCGTTTGATGTAATTGTAATTAAATCACACCGTTGCTCTCGTGTTCCCAATAAAGCAACACTGATTGATGAAGTAAAAATTTAATAGATTCGCACTTTTTGGTTAGAAATGTTCGCCTTTAATATTATTATTCATTTCCATTGAATAAATTTTATATATGCATTTAAATGCCTGTAAGTATACTATACGCGATCAGTTACAGCAGTTGGGCAATCATCTTAACGATGGTCACTCCCATGGTCACGGTAAAGGTAGAAACAAGCCGATCGCGTCTTCGTAACCCAATTTTTAATCTCTTTGGTCAAGTTCAAAAGCGGCATTTTTCGACGTACTTAAGTGGGTAATTATTAAAAGGATGTTATTTGAGAGAGGTTTTTAGGTAGGATCTTTAATTAATTTATACTTGGTATTAATCAGCCGCCGTTTGTCTTACTTGATGTGCAAAGAACGATCTGATCGTATTCTGATCGAATAAACCGGCTAATTTTAGTTCAAGTAGCTTGCGGAAATGTATTTCTGTTTTTGAAGGTTTTTGGCGGTTTTGAATTTATTTATCTTCATCAGTTTTTTAACTTATTTAATTTGTCACAACGATGGCGAAAGTGAGTTAATAAAATCGGCAAAATTTGAGGAAAATTGGACAAATTTTACACCGCTTATTTAATAGTGAAATACTTGATTAAATAACGAAAGCAATGCCTGACAATTTTGGCTTTTATCTCGCCAATGAAGAAAAAATTGCAGTAGTTTTATCAATTTTCCACTTTTTCCGTTTTTTTGCATTTGAAGCTTTTAGATTCATTCCTGTCCCAATTTTTCAAAAGAAAAATGGTATTAATTCAAGAGTTTGGACAGATATATTTACTTACAAAAAAAATAGTAGTTGATCTTGTAAAATGTTGGCTGAAAATTGTGTTTGTAGAGTTTCATTTGGTTTATTTCACAGTTTTCAGCCCAATATTTCAGAGCCAAAACACGGCAAAAAATTTAAGAGTAATTAAAGCAAGTAAAAGAGCCTTCCGTTGAAAACCTGAAAAGAACGCAATTCGTGCTCGAAAGAATATTTACAAAAAAAATGAGACATTTTCTGCAAACGTTCAAAATTCCTTAGATCAATTTGAAGTTGACCTTTTAAACCGTTTCATGTATGAACTTTTTCTTGAACAGTTTCATTTTATTTGATTCAAAAAATGTTTGCTCCATTTCCAAAAAGCAAAATAAGCGGCGAAAAAAAATAAATAAATTTCTCAAAAGTTCACAATTTCTTAGAATAATTTGAAGTTGATCTTCTAAACTGTTTCAAACTGAAAATGCTGTTTGTGGAGTTTCATTTGGTTTATTAGTTCAATATTTGAAAAGCGAAAAACGCTTCGAAGCAAAATTATAGCAAGGAAAAGAGGCGCGAAAGGACAAATTGTCAGAAACTGAGAATTTAAAAACAGAGATATTTATAAAAAAAATAGGAATTTTTTGTAAACATTCACAATTTCTTAGCTAAATTGTAAATTGATCTTTTAAAATGTTTTATGTCTGAAAATTGTGCTTGTAGAGTTTTATTTTGTGAATTTCAAAGTTTTTTAGCTCCACATTTGCAAAGCGAAAAACTCTTCCTAGATAAAATTACAGCAAGTAAAAGATGCATTAAAGGAAAAACTCAAGACAGCTTTTAGAAAAAGGAAACATATATTAAACAATTGCTAGACATTTTCCCCAAATGCTCATAATCCCTTTGTACACATCTTGTTAGCTTAGTATTTAAAAAGTCAAATTCGCGATAAAGAAAAACTGAAGCCAGACAAGTCGCCTTTAGAAGCAGGATTTAGAAAATCGATTTCGAACTAAAACCAGAAACAGTTAGAACAAAGCAAGTCAGACATTTCTAGGGACTTTTTTATAAATCTTCCTGATTTAGCAGATTAATGTATCCCCGGAAAACTTGATTTTGCTCATGGCAAATTTTGTTGCTAAAAAACTCCCAAGTTTTCAACAAAAAAATGATCGAAATAAGCCAACATAACTTAAGAAACAATTGAAAAATTGGGCACATTCTAGTGGTTTCACAAAGATTAACAGATTAAAAAGAAAGGCAAACTGACAATTTACCTTTCAACTTTTGTAGGTACAAGAATGTTACAAAGTTCGAGAAAATTGCCAAATAATTCGAATAATAATAATAACAATCAAAAATAAAAAAAGTAAATTTTCATAGACTAATGAACTCCTTTTCCTTTCTGAGCGAAGCCCAAAACATTTTAATTTTTCCTAAGCCCCCTCCTTTATGTGACTTACCTTAAAAATCAATGTAGATCTCTAGCTTGAGTGTTTTTTCTAGTCAAATCCTGTGAAAGTTCACCACGCACAGTTCTTGTGACCGCAACCGACACTTTTTACTATTCACGTCGACGACAAAAAAGACGACAAAAAATTATTAAATAAAAAAAAACACTTTAGCCGCGCCCCAGTTGAACGATAGCGTATCTAGCAGACCACCACCGGTATCTAGATGATGATGATGCTGATGATGGGCTTTTCTTCTTCTTGTTTTGTTGAAGAGAAGCGATTTAAGAATGGAGATCCACCTGCTTTAGGAAGGAAGAAGTCGCGGCACTCGGTCAGCAGTACCAGCAGCAGGGGGTGGGGTATGGCATTGCTCCTGCTGACCCAGACACGCGCTTAACTTGAGGAAGATGAGTCGACATGCCCTACTATGGCTAAAGCCCAACTTAAGTTGGGTCATTTTTTGATTCATAATGTTTCCTGCGGATTGTCTGTTTGTTTGATTTCATGCGTAAAATGGATATTTCTAGCTAATAGTTAAACTCTTCAAATGCAATATGGTCTTCAGATCAGGTGCCAAGGAAGGAGGAAACGTTTTTGCCCCTATAAAGTGCTTTCTTAGACAAATTTGCTGATGTGATAATACAAAAATGATCTAATGAAAAGTGGATTGAAGCTTGGAAGTTTTTCCTCCTGTTAGGTAAATTCCTAAATAGTTGAAACTATCAATGAACTTTGGTTGAAACTTTGCCAGTTTCATAGTAGTTAATCGGCATTAAAATTACTACCGACTTTTCGGTGAAAAATAGCTGCCAGATGATGTGCAATGATGATATAACTGTAAAATCGAGACCTACTATGTCAAATCGACATTCAACTTTCAAGTAAGACACATACTGAAGATTTGTTGTGAAGCGTTCAAAAGAAGACTCGAATGACACACTCTCGATCTGATCGCAAAGGTCGCCGTAATAGTAATTCCTTAGCCTGAGTTGAATTTCGACGTGAATGGACTAAGAATGATTGCCATTTTACTGTAATATGTTAACAAAGCTACTTGGAGCCTTCATGTGCACATAAAACGCATACGAAATCACCAAATCGTGGCAAAGAGTTTGGCAAGCGGTCCAGCAGCATTCTTTCGCGATTTTTGCATTCAAATCAGAACTTTCGGTGGTCTTTTCCTCTTTAATATCGACAGCCAACAAGGAATATCTTTTGCCATTTCACCTGACCCCGTGATGATCTTCCAGTGGCGGAACCATTACGACAAGAACCACAAGAAGAACCAACGAGTGTGAAAATTCCCAAAGAAAAACACATCGAAATTAACATTTCAATAGTTAATTGATGATGAAAAAGGATTGAATGGAAATCTGAGGACATCAGTAATACTAAGTTTACTGGGTTTGGAAGATTTTATTTCCAAAGATTGCCGTGTTATAAAAACATATTTAGTTATAAGTAGTCTTTTTCCAGCCACCTAAAAAATATTATCGGTTTTCCAACGAAATTTATGTTTTTAAAAGTTTGCGATATTTTCTCACTGTCCTCTAAAAGCATCTTCTTTTTTCAGTTTTTCGCTTAAAGCACATAAAATATTCAATAGCTGATTGAAGTTAAACTTCCATCAAAACACCAATAAATTGACTTCTGAGATAGCCAGCACGTACTCTTGATTTAACTCCATTTGATTTAAAAAACAAATATTTTAAAGAATTTTTTACCCATTAGATCGTAGAAGCATATCGTGATTATTTTTATTTAACTGGTTCCTTCTTGAAACGCGCTAAAAATGTCAGAGCATTCAAGAAAAATACGTGGAAACTTTCCAGCGGTTTAACAACATACAACACACAAACTGAATCTAGAAAGTCAAAAATTAAATTGCGAATAAGTGTGTTTAAAAATTGCGCAAAAAATCCAAAACAACTTAAATATTGACTTCAAAAAGTCAAGCCGACCCTAAGAGTGAAAAAACGTCAGAAAATCTATGAGATGCAATAGAATAAACGAGTAAAAAGCTCATTAATGCATTCAAGAAAAGTATCGAAGAAGTCGTCTAACCGTTTTCCATTGAAACAATAAAATTTACATTAATTTTTCATGTAAAATCGCTCTGACAATCTGAATGATCTAAGTACAATTTGCAAAATTATTGTGACAAGCCAAAAATCAAATTCCACGTGAAAAATCCAGAACAAACTAAATATTTGCTTTAAAAAGTCTAGAAAAAACCCTAAAACTGTGAAGAAACGGTCAGAAACTCCACATTATGTATATTATATTTGTAAAAAAGGAACTCGATATTATACGGCCCCATAGCAATAGAAGAAAGGCGTAAAAATATGATTAATGGCTTCAAGACCAATTTTTCAAATAAAACTCATCTGAAAAACGGTTTTATACTTTTGACATTTTCCAAACATGGTCTGTTTTAACGCGTAAAAACATTACTAATGCTTAAAGCAAATTATAGAAGAACCTTCCAACAGTTTTGACTTGAAAATTAAAAATTAACATTAATTTTTCATGTAAACCTGAAACGAAAATAGATTTTATATTGTTTAGATTTTCAATTGAGGCTATTGGTTGACAATTCAGCATTCTGATTGTAGATCTAAGTATAATTATCGTTAGAAAACTAATGTGAAATAGCAAAATAAAAATTGCGGATAAGTCTGTAAAAAGATTGTGTAAAAAACTCCAGAACAAAATTGAATATTTGCTTCAAAAAGTCTGTCGAAGAACATAAAATTGTAAAAAACTTCAAACGCGTAAATATATAATAAATGCATTCAAGAAAATTAGAAAAAAACTATCCAACCGTTTCCATTTAAAAATTTAAAATGTACATACATTTTTTATGTAAAATTTATTTGAAAGTCTGTTTTCTAATGTTCAGATTTTCAATTGGGACTATTGGGACTGACCAGACAGCATTCTGATTGGTGTAAATTAAATTAATTAAAATTATAAGTGCGAAACTAATGCTGAAAGGCAAAAATTAAATTGCATATCTAAAGATGAAACGAAAAATGTGAAAACAAACTTAAAAATTTGCCTCAAAAAAGCTAGCAAATGACAAAAATAGTAACATGGTAAAAATGTTCTCTTAACACGCATTAGAAACTCAAAAGAACCAAAGGAATTTAAAACAGTTTTGAACGTCTAAAGAGTTTAATAAACAAAATTTCTGTTATAAAACGGCGTAAGACAAAATATTACTTTGTCCGAATAGCTCAAATTAAACCAAAATTAAACTAGATAAACTTGAATAAAAAATTAAATTGTTAAACAGTTATGGATACGCCACAGACGGATCGTAACGCTCTTATCGATATTTCTTCGTGGCAATTTCCGATCCGAAAAGATGATTTATAATGGACCCACAAATCGGTCGTAATTTGAGGTAATTATTGTAGAAAGGCAGTTGGTGGAGCTTTAAAATTTGCCAATGATAATTTTTTTTGATGAGTTATGATGCTTGCGTTGCGATTAAAGAGGCGGCTACAATCGATTGGGTTTGGCCGAGTAAATAGGGCAAAAAACACAGTTGAAAGAGTCGAAAAAAATTGTTTTCGGGAAAATTAACCCAGGTTAGATCTGGTTAAATCGCACAAGTAGCACATTGCAAAAGAGAATGGATTCGGAAATGTCCGATGGAGTAACATATGTTTGATGGGAGCCAAATTATATAAGGTAGGAAAGCAGTGCTGCATGAAATTAAATACGCAGATTTAAACGATTTTCCATATGGATTTGTTAAATTGCTCCGAAGAAAGTGGCTCCAGTTTTCACTTTTTCTAGCCAACTCTCATAAAAAATAAAAACTAAAGTATTTCAAAATCCCGTGAATTTTTCGTCCAGATTAGACACGTGCTGATATCAATTTTAGCAGCTTCGATGAATTAAGCAAACATCTGTAATCTATATATTTATAGAAGAAATGTACCGTTACCACATAATTAACGTTTAAAAAATGTCGGTCATCAGACGTATTTAAGGCATTGGGTTTTAATTTTTGATTGACTGAAACTCGTCTTTCTTCATCTGATTTACGACGGGAATTATAAATAATAATTAGCAAATGCAGAGAATGTTTACCAGAAGCTTATATTGAACGGTTTTAGCTTTGGTTTAGTTAGGAATAAAAACGTGTAACCCTTTGAGCCATAAAGCAGCAACTTGATGAACTTGGTGAACACTAATGGACATAAATAAAATTCCGCATGTTTGCAAACACTTTAAGTGTTTTAGCTAGGCAATATATAGGCGTCATTGAATAGATGGATATACGTGCGTCTGTTTGCACATTATACATTATTCAAACACTTTTTTATGTTTCCAACAAAATGTGGTTCTTGGGTTCCCAGCATGATTGAAAGTGTGATTACTATTGGTCGTTAAGTTAACACCAGAATAACCTACTGACCGTAATAAGAAGGAACAAAAGGTGACATATGGGGTTCATTCAATAGATAATTTGTACATGTTTTCTTCGAGGTTTTTCCGAAAGTTCGCTTTAAATGCGAATGAGAAGTTTCGTTATTAGTAGTGGTTTTCTGAATGGATGGCATCTGATTTCTCCAACGCAGAATCTGGATCTTGATAATCGGCAACGTTTTTTTATTAGAGAAGTGAATAAACTGTTCACAAATTCCTTTGGAACAAAACAAAGTCAAATATAAACCAATTGAGAGTCACAGAACGTATTTCTCCGCGCCTCAAATTTCGCGTTAAAAATGTACAGAAATCAATGCCAACTTACTCTCAACTATTTAGTATTCTCGAAGAATTCATGGTTTGATCCACTAAATGAGAAATTGGGAAATCGGCACGATTGAACCGAAGCAATCCGCTGAGTAATTTGTCGGCAACTGAAGCATTTGAAATGTAATTTCACTTAATTGAAATAAGTTTGCGTAAAAAATAAAATTTATCCATCAATATCATTTACAACTACAGCATTATCCAGGCTGTGTTTGCTGAATTTGAACAAATCCGATGGTATAAAGTACGGGGGATTTAGGCTTGGATTAGAGACCCTGTTCAAAACTGATTGCGACTTCCTTTCCTTAAATTTTGTCTTTTCTGGGCGTCTTTTGATCAAATCATCAAAAATTGCCAGTTCTGCTTCGTATGCTTCGTCCACAAACGTCTCTTTGCTCACTAGGTCTGCAAAAAACACTGTTTCACCTGCTTTTAGCATAAGTCTTCTGAACAATTACCTTCGGCATTCACCGGGGGATTTTTATTAAAACTGCAAACTCCGAAAGTTTTCATACCCGCAACGTACTGATTCTGATCAATAAACCCAGTTTGAAGTCGATCCATTAAATCAAAAAGCTTGCCAATGTGCTTTTGCTCGTATAAAACAGGCGGAGCCCCTAGGCCTGATCTAAAACCCCTTGAGGAAAGAGCTTGAAGATTAGAAATCTTCCTTTACCTGTACAAAAGGCAACGGTTAAGCAGATTGATAATAAACTCAATGGGATTTTCCGCATTGGCGCTCAACAAATGGGCCACAATGAACTGGAAGCATTCAAAGATCCTGTGCGTTCGAAGATAGCGTTGCGCGTCTCTCACTGACTTGGAAGAAGAGTATTTAAAATCATCTTCGCATTCTGTTGGTTTGCTTTCCACAGCCGGCTCGGGCTCTTCTTCAGCTGCAGTGTCCAGGCCTTCACCCAAAAGTTTCAGAAGTTTCCTGCTCATCTGGGCCTATTTACCTAGAAGATAGTCCAAGTGGCGCATTTTATCTTCTCCAGTAAACGTCGTCTCGGTCTGCGTTAGTAAGTCGCTGCTGGACTTTTTCGAGCGCGTTTCCGTGCTAGTGGAAGACTCTGTTGAAGATGGTTGCTCAGGGGGCGATTTGAACTTCAGCAGCTGTTTTTCTTGTAGCCCTTGAAGAAAACATCAGGAATTCCTCGATGGAAAGTTGCCCAATAATCAGACCAGTTGAGTCTCGCCACAGCTTTTTCAGCTCCCATTTCTGCCTCTCTTCATGCGACATTTGAATCAGCTTCTGAAAGGAGTCAACATTGCGCATTCCGAATCCAGAAACCAGGATTGAAGCATCGCGCGCCACTTCGTCTTCTGGAAGAGTTTCTTCGGTTTTGATCTGCTTGGTTTTGTCGAATAGTTTGCTTCCTTTAACCTGAGCAGAATCACGATGCAACTGATGCAGCGAAACCCCTAGATTTTACCTCTTTTCGATCAAATGCTGACTGCGTTGGTTTAACATAGGGGTATTCCTGATAGTAGTACTCAGTGTTGCGCGGTGGAAGTTTGATTGATTTTTCCTCTTTGAGGAAAAAGTCGTAGTCGACTATATCGCCTTCTGCAAGACTGAGTGTTGAGGTGGAAGATTCAGCGGTTTTATTCATGTTGAGCTGGAAAGTCACTTTGACTGCAAATTTGCAGGTGCAATTGAGCACCTTTGAGTACCTAAATGAGGATTTTCAACGCTCTGCTGGAGAGTTAAAACAGCGCATTCTTGCACGATCCCCTTTATATTGTAATTTATGCAAAATGTATGTTTTCATGTCACTTAAAAGCGGCTTCAGTCGACGGCAGAATTGATTTGAAATCGAGTTTTTCGAATTCAGCAGATGCACGCTCAGTCACGAAATGCGAACCGAATATTTTATTTTTGTGTCGTTTTATCTAAGTGGAACGCGTATCTAACAATGATTGGAAAAACTGGCCAAAAAACTTTGCAGAATGTTTTGGTGGTGATTTGTGATTTTGTAATCAAAGTGGATTTTCTAATGAAGAAAAAATGAATTAAAATCGAGTCCAAATCTGCACGAGGACAGCATGTACATCAGGAAATAAAATACTGGGTCAGTAAGATGGTCCGCGCCCGTCCTGCTGAAGAATGTCGACTGGCCTTGACTCTGAAGAGTGGTAGAAAGAAGAAGTGGCGGAAGTACCACTTGAGGACCTCCCGCCAAACAAGTACCTGCGGGCACCATTCGGCTGAACCATGGGAAAATATGCGAAAATTCAGAGTGCTTATATGGATGACCTGATTATTGGTACTGATATGTTCAATTCCCCAAAACTCGAGTGTTTAGAATCCAAAAAATCTGGCACTTTTTTCGGCAACCGCAATCACTTTTGTTGTAAAACGCCCCATTTGTGGTGCCCGAAAGTTTCTAAAACGGCGTGTAATTCGAAACAATTACACAGCAAAGATTGGATTTGCTATGGTTGAGCCTAATTAGGCGTATTTGGGCGAACAGAATCCCGCTTTTGCGCCTGAATACAAATAGACAAAAAACTAGCTAAGTATTATTTTGTTCAATTTCCACGTTATGATATGGATTATTAAGTAGTTATGCGAAAGTTTGCTCTAAATATTTCAAATTCAACCGATTAATGGGCGAATTCCAGTTTCGGACCCACCGAAACATTTGGCCGCTTATATTTATTGCCGTAAAATTGATAAATTGAACTAAAACCCGTGTTGGAATTAATTTGCATATTTTTACACTTATATATGGCTTTCTCTTCTATTTAAGGTCTTTTTTTGGAGGACCGCTTTCTGTTTTTTAGCTCTCAAAAGCTTCCTTACTTTGTGCGTTCGTCAAACATGCCCTGAAGCTCTGTATTTGTTCAGAATGTTTTTCCTGTTTAATAAATTACCAAAAAAATCGTCTTAATAAGCTGCACATTACTCATAAGCAAGCAATCAAAACGATGGCTTTAAATAAACAAGCAACACATTTAGGGGCGGATCCAGCTTTAAATTCAGGGGGGGGTTATGTAGAAAAAATACAGTCTTCTGTTGTCTATGAAATCAGAAAAAGTATCGTCGTTTTGTGCAAGGGTGGCGTAAGATTATTGCAAAATTTCATGTCTGCCGTCCCGTTTTTGCTCATGTCTCGGAGGCAAAATGAGCAAGAACGCTCATTTGTACATCATTCTAGAGAGAAATAAATGGCCTTTTTAGAAAGTGAACCATAGATGTGGAATTGTTGGCAGTTTTCTCAAAAAATGCTTGAATTCAAGAACTTTTAGATTTGCGTGTTTTTTTTTTAGTTGCAAAATCCACTTGAGCATGACGCTGCTTTTTTCGAAGTTTCTCAAGAACCATTCGAGCCACAGAATTCGTTTTGGCATCGTTGGATAGACAATCGTTGGATAGAGAGGAAATTCGAGTAGTTCTGACCCAGAAAGCGAAATTTGAATATCAGACACTTAGGTACAAGATTATGCCAACATTTCATGTTTTCCGTCCCCTTTTTGCTCATATCTCGGAGGCAAAATGAGCAAGAACGCTCATTTGTACATCATTCTAGAGAAAAATAAATGGCCTTTTTAGAAAGCGAACCATCGATTAGCAAATGTTGGCAGTTTTCTCAAAAAATGCTTGAATTCAAGAAGTTTTAGATTTGCGTGGTTTTTTTTGAGTTGCGAAATCCACTGGAACATGACGCTGCTTTTTTCGAAGTTTCTCAAGAACCATTCAAGCCAGATAATTCGTTATGGCATCGTTGGATAGAGAATTGAATGGGGGGGGTCATGACCCNGCCCTTGAACACATAGGAAGCTGTTTCGCATATCAACAATGTGTTCATATAGAAAATTCAACAATAAATTAATTCGATTCTCCCACATCACATTGATAAGATTTAATGGACTTCCTTTGGCCACGAGCTTAATGATAAAAGCCTTGTATTAGTTAAGTTCTTGAATAAAATGGCGAAATAATTACGTGCTAGTGCCCGAAAATTTGTTGACGAAAAAATGATAAAAGCCACAGTAATTTTGTGCTCGTTTCTCTGTTTGCTGGCGCAACGTTCTTCTTGTGCTAGGGGAAAGAAGGAGGACAAAACAGTATGCCCGAAAGTAAAGGCTATCAGGAATTTCGACCTGGAGGGAGTGAGTAATCGCACAAAACATCCCTCAGTTAAGAGTGAGGAACTAAAACTCTCCTCTTTAGCTACTGCATCAGTGGTACGTGATTGAATACTACGCCAGCTCAGAAGAAGCTTTATCTTACCGATGTATGCGCGCAGACTTCACCATGTCCACATCAGAAATCATCACGATGAATTTCACCTACAGTTTCACCGATGATCCCCTGAACGAGCAACTTTTAGGCAATATCACCTGGAATATACCGAATCCTGCTGAACCCGCTCATTGGACTCACTCTGAAGATACATGTGAGTTCTTTTAAATTTCCACTAACTTGCGACTAAAAAGCGGTTTTTTGCCTGCAGATGAAGGCATTTACAATACGTTTGTCCTGGATTCCGACTATATTTCCTGGGCTTTATTGTTGCATTGCGCTGAAAAGGCCAAAGTCCCCAGGTATACCTCCAGCTAGCTTTAAAAATGGTTTTAAACAGCAGGAGTTAGATAATTTTTATTCCAGATATTTATCAAGTTTTATTATGAGCCGAGAACCCACATTAGGAATCAACGTAATTGCCTATCTAAGAGAAAAACTACCGCAATACGACATCGATCTGTCCTTCATGTTCGATATGATGCAAACGGACTGTAATGAGACGAGTTTTGAAAATATTCCTCCATCTCTGCTCGCTAACATCAATCGGCCCGTTCAACTAGGCGAACGCCGACATCCCATGAAACATGCACATGGCTAGATAAAGCAACAGGACAAGTGCTGAGTTATAGGCGAAACAAAACACAAATATTTTAAAATCAATCGAATTAATAGTTTTAATAAATATATTTTATTTATTAAGCCTACATACGGGGCTCTTTTGGATCATTTCCAGGTCCACTTTGGGGCCCACCAGGTCTCTAATATTATTAAAGCCGTACTTGATCATGGTGGGTCTTTCCAGCGAAAGGCCCCAAGCGATGACGGTGACGTTTCTCGGCAACCCCATGGGAAGCAACATTTCCGGGCGGAAAATTCCAGAGTTTCCCAATTCGATCCATTTTCCCAAACCGGGATGGAAACAGAAAATTTCCATACTGGGCTCCGTGTAGGGATTGTACGCGGGCTTGAATTCCAGTTCAGTTATCCCTGAAATATTGCAAGAAACGCTCTAGAAGATTCTATGAAGCAGGAACATTCCTACCAGTAGGACTTTGTCCAGACAGGAATTTCCCACTTACCCAGTTTCTTGAAAAACTCTGCAAACACCCCGATTAAATCACCGAGCGTTAAGTTGTAGTCCGCGATAACTCCTTCAACTTGGTGAAACTCTGCCAAATGAGTCGCGTCCAAAGTCTCATTCCTGAACACCTACCGTTAACTGTTACAAAACGAACTTACTTGCATAAAAAGGAACTTACTTTATCAATGCTGAAAAGCTTCGTAGGTTTGAACTCCTTCTGCTGAGCTAATTTATACAACATTCTGGCGCTCACGGCCGTAGTATGGGTGCGCAGCAAGTTCTTCTGCGTTTCCTTATACTGCCAATGGTATCCATACCTGATAAACCATCACATGATCCCGTTAAGAAAACTGAAAATTTACCAATCCAGCCAAACCTACCCTTGTGAGCCGTACCCGCCCTTCCTATGCACGGTTTTGACCCTTTGAAGATAGTCCTCAGGGAATTTGTGACTGAATTGAGGTTCTGAAACGAAGAAAGTGTCATGGGCATCCCTGGCTGGATGCTGCTGCGGCTGGAAAAGGGCGTCAAAGTTCCAAAAGGAATTTTCTACGTAATTGTTGGTGGGCATTTCCGAAAAGCCCATTTCCAGGAAAATTTGCCTGAATTCCGTCCGTACTTTGAGCAAAGGATGGAGGAATCCAGATGAAGGTGGCACTCCTAGAATATTCGTCTGTAGAAGGATTTTTCAAATCACTCACTTTTCAGACCTAAGGCATCAAGGTTGTACTCTTTGAATTTCAGGCTTTTCCAACTGCCACTGGCCAGCATTTCCGTAGTTAAATCAGTCTCAAGTTTATTGAGTGTTAAACTAAAGTCTGGTCCCTTTCTTAACACAAAACTCTTGATTATTGACTCTTGGATCAGTTTCCTCTTCTTATAATCGGCCTTTTCCTTATCGGAAAGCCCTGTGGGTTGACCGGCTTGCAGTAACTTGAGCTGATCTTGCACCTGCAAGCAATAAAGCTGTTGTCTTAGGCGATCTAAATGAAAAAATACGAGGCAAAGTACCAAGTCTTTGATTTCTGCGACTTTCTTCTTAACTAGTGGAGGATTGACGGATTTATCCACCAGGACCCAGCCATTGGACATGGCTTTGCTGAAGCCCACTTTAGCGTTTGGTAACTTCATGAGCTCAGCCTGGCTAATTCCCGCTTCTGGCACCGCATTGTAAATGTTGGCTTCATGACTTCCTAAAAAAGGTTGTTTGTGAAGGATAACTGCTTCTTCTTCAATCTTAAAAAAAATATAATGAACATCCAGGCCTTATTGCCAACTATTTCCAGACTAAAACAGCAGAATCAAAGACAATATTGTTATTAAGGGCTGCTTTAAAAACACGCAGATTCTTACCAGCTTTTGCCACCAGTTTTCCTTCTGTGGTAAGCTCGATTTGCTTATCACTAACCGGTTCAGCTGAAACAAGGTCCCCATTCGCCTGTATGCTTTTTAGGGCTCCAATGACTTTTTGATGGTCCTCCTTGAATACCTCAGCTAGTTTCAGGGTGTTTACCTCGGAATTTTCGGAGAGGTATTTTAGAATCCTCTCGGCCATCGGGGCGAATTATAACAGCGCTTTATTTAGTAGTTTTGGCTAAATTTTCAAATGTTTAACTAGGCAATCTGCTAAATTGCAAGCTGTCAGTGGAGAGAAAACATTTAGGTTGGGACCTTACGGCTTCTCGATTCTTCTCTCAAAGCTGCGCTGGACCGTTTTGCATCTTGCTCACACCCTGGGATGTTTAGAGACGCAAAACGTGAGCGTTTGGGTCAGGTAGTGTTTGTTTGGTCAAAAAATTAAAAAAAAAAACAAAATCTCTGTACCAGGGTGGCAATCGTGTTTTTTGCCCTTATTGGAGTGTTTCCGACCTCAGAAGCTGCCCCTCTCTCTCGTCTTTATCTATGACATGGGCAATTTCACTTAACCTAAAACCTAACCGAGAAAAACTGATTTCATAGTCGCCAGAGGCCCTACAGACGATAAAGAGCTACAGATTAAATCATGAAAGGAAAATATTCTGTGGATGAATACGACAACGCAAGTCAAATGATTCTTCCCCATTGTTGTTTGTGGGTTTGTCATCATTTGTCATTAAGCCACATATAAGCCACTACTCGTCTTTATCTATGATATAAGCCTTGTTCTATGATCTATGAGCTGCCCAATATCGAATATGAAGGTTGTGGGTCGAAAATAAGGAAGATATCGTCCGTCGAAGAGTGCGACCGATCAAAAACCGTTCAAAATAAACAGAAAATGTTGATTATTTGGGAACTGGAAAGGCCCCGGTGTTTTTTAATTAGCTCGTTGCATTCCCTGTCTCTTTCCGATGAAAATGATGTATCACTTGAGGTATTTTGAGGAACTTGAATTTTTTGGAAAAATCGACCTTATGAAACTCGACTCCCTTATGAAATTTTCGGCCAAAAATCAAAATTTCACATGTGTGTTTTCTGAGCTCAAACGGTTCCTTTCGATGTAAGGAGATCAGAAATATGCATTTATAAAATGTTTGGATCACAAATGAGGAAGAAGTCCTCGGATAAAGATCGCGAACGCTCAAAAAATGCTTCAAGTGTTCCGAAAATGTATATTATTTCAGATCTGAAACTTCTACCATGTTTTCAATGAGTTCGCTGCATTGCTCGCGTCCGTGAGCTGAAAATGACGTAAAATTTGAGCCATTTTGAGAAAATTTTGATTTTTTCATAAAATCGACCCCCACCCTTGGAAATATTTCGGCCAAAATTCAAAATTTCACTCACACCCATTCGTCAATAGTTCATTTCGTCCACAAGGAATATTTTCCTCATAAAATCAGTACTTTTCCACTTTCGAAGAAATCAGCAACCTTCGTTGCCTAGAAACCGTCCCTGGTGACGTGCTTTTCCGGATACACATAATACACACGTATATGTACGGTAATTTGGGCAATTGTACAAAAAGATATTTTACATTCAAACGGAAATTAAATTACATTTTGCCTATTCCTGATCTATTTATAAATTATTCAACCAAGGATAATCATAAAATTATAAAATAAAATTATTATTGCCATCATGCGTTAAACAAGTTCAATATTTTATGGTTTCTATTAATTTATGAAGTTATCACTTCTGTCGAGCACCATTTTTTTTGTATATCCACGAACCCTCCAAATGCAGGGACACAGTCGCAATCTTGTCTTTATCTATGGTCGCAATCACAGACTACATACTATTCCGCATCGCAATTCCCATTCCGGCGCAGAGAATCGCCATCTGCTCGTAACTCCAGCGAAGGGAGAGGGCGAGAGGGTCTTTTGGTCTTTATCTATGGGGCCACACACAATGCCGAGAGGTTAACAGGGGTTTGGGTGTATTACTTTAGTAGTGCACTCAATAATATAAGTGTTATATTTTCATATGTACTAAGTAGAAAAATCAACTATTTCCTTGATCTGTTATTTACATTGAAATAATGGACCATCAAAGGTATGACCGCGTGAAAATGACCTACTCGCTACCAAAGGCCAATTATATAAACCATGTGAGTGCAGTAAGCCATTTGATAACAGTAATTGCAACTTGCGTGTCCCTGGGAGGCCCAACTTGGTTTCATTTCGATGGGGACATTTGCGTCCTATACTTAACTCTGGCACAGTTTTTCTGGTTTGGATATGTTCCGGATGGAATTGACTACACTGGTTAGTGGTAACAAGAATTATCTTAAGTTTTGTCCGTTCTGATAGCGGGTTCCACACCCTGGATTAAAGCCTGTTATTTTCCAGGATCGTTCCGAAGCCGCACAAAATTCGGAAGGATTTTTTTGCGCTAAAATGTGGTGCGAACCTTGACCAAGTTTTAATCTCGCTCGAAATCCGCTATCAGAGAAGTTTATCACTCTCATCATCCACGCATTCTTGATTGTTATCCCATCTTGATTTTTTTTTGATTTTCCATTTTTATTGCGCTCGCAATCTGAATAGCCCATTTTTAGATTCCGATTGCTTGGGTTCGACGTTTATATATTCGATGAGAGCAATCATCCTGTTGTGTTTCGTGACAATTATTAGCTCTCTATTCGGATTCTGGATGGACATTATTGAATACAAACATCCAGTCTATCTCCGGATCAGGAAGAGCCCATTGACGAAATTGTGCTCAAGTAAGTTGGGTATTTTTAGCACTAAACCATTTAATTTACCATGGATCTTTTAGTGTCTATTATCCTGATAATTATCGGCCTGTGCTGGTGCCTTCGGACGCTCAGCAAACGACTTATATTAACTGAGGATGCGAAAAGTGATTTTGATGTTTCGTTTGGGGTGGGATTTTACTTGGTGGCACTCTCAGGTAAGATGCGGATTGTCGACGCCAGGGTGGCAAAAATTAACTTTGTGTCTCTTTAGGGGGTATGCTAGGAATCACAATTATTTTTCATATAATTGAGCTAAAGCGACTGCACCATAAACAAAAGGACCATGTTTTCTTTGCTGCTTTTGATGCTATTCAAATACTCAGTATGGTTAAAAGTTATCAACGACTCACACGTCGAGCGCAGAATTCTCTACTGTCTATAGCTTACAAACCTTGACCTATGATTGCAGTATCTGATGAAAATGATGTTTTCTGTACTTTTGAAATGGATGCCCATTAAAGGAAATTACATAAAATCGTACAACAAACTGCATATCTGCCATTTTATTAGTTGAAGTATTATTTAGTAGGTATAATTAATGTTGTGAATTCTCAATTAAGAGCGCTTTTGAAGTGTTTCGTTCAACCCTTATTATTAGAATCTTTCATGCGAGTGTTTGTGATACTTATTTGCAGGTGTTAACAATTGCGATTGAACTGAAGAAGTGGCTCTAATAGAAAAATAGATATTTAGCTATTTATGGTTGCGATAGAATTATGCAATGTAATTCCTAAAACTGAAAACTGGTTTTGCCCACATAGCAAAATGATATTCCCAGAATATACCTGGAACATTCATGTGATGTACATGCATATTCCTGGGACATACATGAGTTCCATTATGAACATACCATGATGTTCATAATAAACATTCTGGGATATTCATAGAATATCAAATGCTATCTGGGTGGGTTTTTGGTTCAAACGGAAAAAAATTCAAGCTGATTTGTTTATGCAAAAAACGGGTTTAGGTGTGCGGATCTTATGAAGTTCTAACATTTTAAATCAGAGTAGTGTATTAAATGTTCCTCATCTCAGCTAGGCTTTTGGTACCATTCCTAAATCCTTACTTGGACTCATACATTAACAGTGGTCCAGAATATCTGCTTGAGAATCTGAGGAAGTTCTTTGGTATCGTTGCAAATAAACGCCCGTCCAGATGGAAGTTTCTGAGTCAATCTGCAATCGAATTGATGTATGTTGGAATCTGTCGCAAAAATCCTGTACCTTTCAGCCTGATCTCCAAGACTTCCGATGAAAACCGCATACGAACTAACATTAGGTTTCACCGTCAAGGCTTCGGCAAGTTTGGACGGCGGGATTCCGTATCGTTGCAAGTTGGCGTCTGATAGTAAAACCAAAATTGCTTCATCGCAATCTTCTTCGGCCAGACTGTTCACCGCCCATTTTGTGGCTTCCAGAGTATTATCGCCTGACCAGCAGAATTGGGAATGGGCGTGCATAGTCTGAAAGCATCCATTGGTTGTTAATTGGTTTAACTGCACGGACTAATGGTTACCCTGATGACTTCTAGGCGCTCCTTATTGTTCTTCGGGGGATTATTGCGTGCAACAAAGACAATGTTATGCTCTTCGCCCGAGTGGCCGATGATGTCGAACTTGATTTTGTCTTCGAAACCTTCAAAGGCTTCCATCACGAGAACAACAGCTTCCAGCTCTCTGTCCAATCTACCATCGTAGCCATTAAATCTAAAATAGAAAATTCACTACTACTACGAACTAGGCCAATTGGAGTTTCTCGGCATTTTATTAGAGTCTACCTGTACATGCTTCCTGATACATCCACTAGCACTCTGAGATATTTGGGCTTAACTTGAGGCGAGCCTATTTCGGGATCTTGTTCTGATCGTCTTTTGTAGATGGTTTTCTCGCCCAACAGCCCTGGAATTGATGTCGACTGTAACCGCAGCAAACTAGTTAATATTTCTTCACTTGCCATCAATCAGCTTAACATCGTCTAATTCCCCTGAGGTTTGATGCCGGAACCAGTTGCGCTCCTTGTTTTTGGCCTGCAAATTTCCCAAAATCACCCGGAGCGACTGCACCTGCCTGGCTACTGCTCCGGAAAATTGCGAATAAACGTTGTGATCGTATCCAGACATCCCGATTTCCTTCAGCCGCTCAGCGAAGACCTTGCGGTTCATTTCCCTGGCGGCTTTCTTCACGTGTTCCGGAATATCTGCTTTCTCCTCATCTGAAAGCTACAGTGGCATAGACTTTTTGATCAGCTGCACAGTTGTGGCTTACCTGGTGGACTTTGTGGCCCTTGTCCAGCCTATACGGCCCACCTTTGCCTCCTAAGCCGGCAGTGTCTCGCCCTCCGGTACCACCTGCCCAAGTGTTTCCTCCCACATGGGGATCGTTCTTGGGGTCCTCTTTGCCATGCTTTGGAGCGGACACATCCAACCTAGAAGGCCCATTTTAACAGATCCAGATGTAACAGTCGCAAAGAAGCCTCACCCACTAGTTCTGTTCACAGTCACCTGGATATTTTCTCTGGCTCGTTTGGAGGCAATGTACTCGGAAGACATGGCGTTTTTGGAAAAGCCATGCTTCTGCAACACCTCGCCTAAAGTTTCCAGCAATTCTGGACTGTATCTATCGAAGTCGAACACATTGAAAACCACATCTTCTACATCGGCGGTGGGAAATTTCTGGAAAGTTCAGTCCGTTATTTGAGGCTTTTGACTCAACGAATTCCCCTTGAAACTCACCTGTAAGTGTTTGATTATATTGACAACCTCCCTAGTCGAGTAGGGGTAGTTTAACAGCCCCTGATCGGCCATAAGTCTGAGGTCTCCAAAAATATCCACCAACTTCCGGATGGTTTTAGTTGGCACCTCCGGCCCGTACTGCTTTAGCAGCTCGATTTCCGACTCAACTGACGGGTTTTCGACTGCTCTGCTGCTAAACAGGTCGCCCAGAGCGCCGAAGAAGTCGTTTCCAAGAAACGGAAATCCTGGACGATTCGCCAGGACAATCATGCGGAAATCCTTGTGGATTTTTATGCAGGTTTCCTTGCCTGGAACAGTGCTATCTGCAGCTGGTTTTTGGGAATGTTACTGAACCTACCAGCAGCTTCCTCTGGGGGTTGTTGGGAAATTCTTCTACCATCGCTAAGAATCATCTGGCCTGACTCGACAAGGGTTTTCAATATGCACGTTACATGAGTAGGCGCCTTATCAGCTTCATCCACCACCAAAACATGCCCATTCTTAATGGCCTTAACCAAAGGCGAATCTTCGTAGATTAGAACGCCGTCCTTAACAGTGGGTTGAGTGGTGAGAGTTTGCACCGTCGTATCCCTGAAACATTGACTCTGGAAAACCAACACTTCCGATCTCAGCCAGTGGCAACCTGTGCAGTTGGATGTATTCCCTTGGCCGATTGAGGAGCTCCAAAAATCGGTCAATTATCTTGTTCTTGCCCACCCCTTGGTTCCCAACCAGAAGCAAGTGGTAGCCAAGCTGGAAGTCTTGCAGCAGCTTTTCCATTAGCTGCACATGCTGAGGAATGTCGTAGAAGAGAACTTTGGGAACTTTAGTGGGGTGATCTGTTTGGAACACTTTCACTGAAGTATCGCCTGCAAGCCGAATATCCACTTATATCCTCATTTGCACTAGTGAAGGACTTTCAAGCAACCTATTGTGAGAACACCGTCTGCAACCTGGCATCTAACACTGGAAGCTTCGCGGTTCAAATCGTCCTGAGGTGGAATGCCTACGCTCCCAATTAGTTTATCCAGCGACTTTCTTGTGATGGAGGGCAGAAATTTGATCATAAAAGTGTCCTCGAGGATGCCATAAACGTTTGCAGTAGGAAACTGCTTGATTCTGGCCGCTATTCTGATCAGTTGCCTAGTGGATAGATGGCCGGCCAAGTTCTTCAAGGATTGGTCTTGGTTTTCCCGAAGCAAATGAGCCAGATTGATGATTTGATGCAAGGACTTATCAATGGGCCCCAACTGTTTAAAACTCACAAATAATTACAATTTTTCAGTTGGAGATCCTTTCAAGCACCTTGGCTGTGATCACGTGCATTTCCTCCAGCTTGCTCAAAGTGCGCAGCTGATGGAACAGAAACAGGCTGAGAATTTCGGGCGACATCCAGCTTCCCTCTTTGGACTGGGCGTTTGGAGGCTCACCGACGGCGACGATGCGAAACTCTGGATGGATCGGGAAAATCCCGCTCTGCCCGAGCTGCTCTTTGGATAATCCCAGCTTATCCACAAGAAAATTGTATCGATCGAAGCCCATCAGACGCTTTCCGTCGTAGAGCTGCAGGTCTCTATCATGCACCAATCTGGGAAGATTTTTGACTTGGAACGGGTAGGTTCAAGTGAAGGTTTAATTAAGGGAAAAACGAATACCTACGCAAGGCCACTACCTGTGTAACACTGAAAGGGTGCTGGGGTGGATGCGGTTAATTCCATCCAGAACGGCGATTTTTCCTTCTAAAGCTGCCTGGATCAGTGGGGAGAAGCTCCAGACAGTGTCGCCCTTTTCCAGGGTGGTTCTTTGCTGGATCAGGTCGCGCGCCGTCATGTCCTGATACAGAACTATGTTCTCCATTGGGCGATTTAGAGCGGTTGCCATCTGTTTCAGCAACATGGTTTTGCCTGATCCGCTGGATCCTATCAAGCAAAAGTCGGATACTTCCACTGTTTCGAGCATACTGGACAGAACGCTGTTTTGGTAGTCGGTTTCAACGTATTCGTCCCATTTATTTGCTGGTGGAAGGAAGTGATGAATATTACTAAATTCTTCCTGCAAAGATATTTAGTAGGTACAAGGGCGGATCCAGTCCCATCCCCCATTCAATTCTCTATCCAACGATGCCAAAACGAATTCTCTGGCTCGAATGGTTCTTGAGAAACTTCGAAAAAAGCAGCGTCATGTTCAAGTGGATTTTGCAACTAAAAAAAAACCACGCAAATCTAAAACTTCTTGAATTCAAGCATTTTTTGAGAAACTGCCAACATTTCCTTATAGATGGTTCACTTTTTAAAAAGGCCATTTATTTCTCTCTAGAATGATGTACAAATGAGCGTTCTTGCTCATTTTTCCTCCGAGATATGAGTAAAAACAGGACGGAAAACATGAAATTTTGGCATAATCTTGAACCTAAGTGTCTGCCATTCAAATTTCGCTTTCTGGGTCAAAACTACTCGAACTTCCTCACTAACGTTGTTATGTTACGACTGAATAGACTTTTTTCGAATAAAGGCCATTTAGTTATCTCTGGAATGATGTAAAAACGAGCGTTCTTTAGACAGTATTTTTTCTACATAACCCCCCCCCCNTGACTTTAAAGCTGGATCCTCCGCCCCTGAGTAGGTATACTTATACTTACCGATCCCAGATGGTTTTGGCTGCAGAAACTCTTTGAACCTTGAGCTAATGCTTTTACTTTCCGTCGGTTGTTCTGGAATACCTATAAAGGTTCCAAGCAGAGCTTCTACGTTGGAAGTACCACTTGAGATGAAGGCTTTGTAGGGGTAAAGGCGATTTAAGAGCTCGTAAGTTGAAACATCGGGGTTTTTACTCTGGGAAGAAACTGAGTTGTTAATGGCTGCATAAGCGCGCTGAGTGTTTTTGACTTGCCAATATTTGTGCAGCTATTGGCAGGTTGTCTACGGGAAAATCCGGCAGTTCCAGAAATTTCGATTCCTTATTCAGCAGAGCAAAGGCACAGGATAGGAGCTCGTCAATTTTTTTCCTGGACGACTCCTCAACTTGCCCAGTAAGTTCTATTTGCCATTCCTGGCAAAAATGTCGATTTTTACAGTCGTTCTGGATTTCGCAACATTAATTTGCATTGCAAACATTTTCAATTTCCTGCAGTTGTTTATGCCACGCACCTCAATGTAATTTAGCTTTCGCCAACTTTGGCTCAAATGGCTTGTTCGCGTGAAAACCCACTGCGGTCGTAGTAAACTTCCTGAATTAATTCGAAAGTTGAATTTCGCTGTTTATTATATGAAAGTTAAGCGAAACTCAGCTTTTACTACATAATGGTTTGAATAAATGGAAGGTTATTCGTTGCCTGAATTGTTCAAATGGCGAAAACATTACAAATTACCCAACGCAAAGTAGAAAGTTACTACTTTGTTTGGAAGAATCGTAGAAAATTGAGCTGCTTTTTGATTGAGGCATCATGTGCAGGATGGGAAGCAGTGTCTATTATCTGCATTTGTGCTAATTTTCAAGTAGTTGGCTGCTTCGGTTGAGAAACGACTGATTTTTGAAAATTTAGTTTCCTCAGGGCAAAGTAGGTACTCGATTTCAAAAATTTAAATTGTAAAAAATTATTCTTGATCTCGACTTAATCAGAAATTGCAAGATTTTAAGTAGTAACTATTATCGCATTATGCGCTAACTTTTATGTCTCTATCTGCTCCGGTTTAGAAGCGAAAAGCTTTTCTCCACTACAACTATACAAAGTTGGCATTTGAATTTGAAAAATCGTAAAAAATTATGCTGTTTATCAATTTACTGATAATTCGCAGGATTTGAAGAAGTGACTATTGTCTTTATTTCCTATATTTGCAGCTTCTAACTACGTCCATCCGGATAAAAACCTTATTTTTTTTAATTGGGTTTAATTTGCGAAAGTATGAATTTGGCACCTAATGGTACCTAGAAGCGACGAATTTTTGAAAATTACGTTTTTTTGTGTAAAGTATGAAATTGGGACTTGATTTTGAAAAATCGTAGAAAATTACACTGCATTTCGATTCAGCCATAATTTGAAGCAGTGAATATTTTCTCTACTTCTGCCAATTTTCACAGCTCTAACTGTTGGAGCTTGGAAGCAACGAATTTTTGAAAATATACTTTTTCCCTGGCAAACTATAAAGTCGGCACTTGGGTTTGAGAACTTGTTAAAAATTACGCTGCACATCGATTTAGTAATAATTTGTCGGAGTTAAGCTGGCGACTGATAGCTTCATTTGTGCAAAATTCCCAGCCTCTACCTGCTTCAATATGAAAGGGACGAATTTGTTCCTGCTCACAGTACAAAATTTCCACTTGAATATTGAAGTCATAAAATTATCAATTGACGAAAACATTAACTAATTAGTTTTCCTCGAACAGGTCTGGAGGTGTTAAATAGTTTTTCAGAAAAATCATTGGCAATTTTCCATTACGCTGATGGTGGAAAGTGATTATGTTTTATCGATCATCCAGTGGCCGGCAATAAATTTTAAATCCTGGCGCTTTTGGTTCAAAAAAGGCGTTCAGCCAATCTGAAGAACTTCCCATCGCATGCCAGTAAATAGTAACGACGATCGTGTAAATTGGTTACCGAATATAACTCAATATTTGTTTAAATTGTTTTCGGCTTAATCGCATTTTATGCTTCGGAATAACAGGGGGATAGTTGATAGATTGTTATTTGATGGGGCACTTGATAAGCGAAACCAACGAAATCAATTCATGATCATTTTGCCGAGTATTGCGGGTGTTGAATGTGAGGAGTGGAAGCTTTACTGTTTACTAAAGTCTAATCAAATTGAAACTAAAAATGTGTCAAGTCACGGAAAAGTTTTCATATTTCGTTGTTGTTACAAAGCGAATCTTGGAAAATTCGACCATGACACGTTTAGAGTTGTACCTACATTTTCTAAATTGCTCCCTAAATAAAGGTGATTTGACAATGCAATATTCATACAATGGAAAATTGCATTTGCTTCTTTTGTAAGTAATCACTAAAGTTAAGCTATTTGATTGAGAAGGTTTATTCCAGAATATCCACCCTGTATCTGGATCACTCGTTTAGATGCATTCAGTGCGCAAATTCGTCCAATGTGCCATGTTGTCCCAAATCGGACCAGCAAGAGTTTCATTTGTCTCCCTTTCTTTATTTCCTGTCGTATTGTGTGGTGACAAGGTGGTTGCACCGTCGCGACTAACCCCATTCAGCCCTTTAACAAGGCGACATCCAAAACTTTCAATTAGGACTTTGTAAGTAAATTAATTCCTTTTTTCAGTAGAATGATTTTAAATTTTTGAAGTTCATGGCAATTTATTTGCAGCACAGGTTTAGGAGAGTTGTAGATGAATAGTTTCTTTAATAAAAAAAAATGGTGTGCGTCACGGGATGCTCGACAGAAGTGATAACTTCATAAATTAATAGAAACCATAAAATATTGAACTTGTTTAACGCATGATGGCAATAATATGGCTTCTTTGCAATGCAAGCAAATGTTGCAAATAAAAAATATATTTTACATTCAAAAGGAAATTAAATTGAATTTTACCTATTCCTGATCCATTTATAAATTATTAGACTAACAAGAATATTAAAATTATATGCGTTAAACACGTTCAATATTTTATGGTTTCTATTAATTTATGAAGTTATAACTTCTGTCGAGCGTCCCGTGACGCACACCATTTTTTTTTAATTAATGTTTTTCAGCGCAAAGTCTTATCGCTTAAATTTGAAATCAGTAATTTGTGGAACGATTCGTGCATAAATTACACAATTTACAGCTGTAGTTATTTCCTGAATTTTTAGAAAAAATTTCAAGCTTTAAGCTGCTTCCATTTCAAAGAGACGATTTTTTAAAACACCAAACAGGAATATTTTCAGCCGGCCCCAAGCAATCACACGTTAATTGAAACGTCGTCCATAAAGACCAACGTATTTTTTTACTGGTTATAACGAACTTCCGTATATAACGATCACTTTTTAGGATAGTTGTATATTCACTTTCCGTTTATAACGAACTTCCACGCTCAGCAACACCAATCCTGCGCAGTTGTTTATATTAGTGAGAGCGAGAGACAGGCAGTGACTTGTTTGTTGCCGCGTTATGTATATAAATCGTTTTAGAATGGAAAAACAAAAACGCAAAGCTTTTTTACTAAATGGAAAGTACAAGATTATTAACAAAATAAAAAGTGGAGTAAAGCAGAGTGACATTTCTAAGGAATTAGCACGTTATGAAAACGTTAGAGGCGATCGATAAAAATGAAACATTTTCTATAAATCT